GTGCCCTCCTCAATACCCACCACCAGGCCAACCCATCCTCCCACCCCCCTCCCCTCTAGAACCCTCAGTTTGTTTTTCAGAGTCCATTGTCTGAGAGAATAGATTTTTATGAGATAGTTCCTATAAATTTTGAATTTCTTAGTAACTGATTTTATTTGGGTACAAAGCTGCCCATTTTATTTTCTTTTATTCTTTTTTTCTTAAATCGGAAGTAGTATTACTTTAGTCTATTATACTTTATTATAATGATTAATACTTTATTATGGAGGGAAAATCTGTTTCATTAATGTTTGTGTTAGCTTGAAGTGTACATGCCTGAATTGAGGTGGACTTTGACTGTTTTTGTCCTGTTTGGTTTTAGGATTTATCCGATGTCGATTAATTGAAGGGCAGTTACAGGATGCAGATCAGCAGCTAGAATTCCTTAGGGAAATTCAGCAGTCTATTGGAAAATCTGCGGTACAGTGTTTTATTTTATCAGATGGTAGATCCTAGGTACTGTTTATAAAATACGAGATTTTAAATTTTAGTAATAGTAATGGCTTTCACTAATTTTAACTTATACACTAATTTTAATATATAATTGCATTTACTAACTTACCTCCACACAGAATTAGACTTTAAATATTCTTGTATAAGATTCTAAAAGTTTAAAAAAAAGATTCTAAAAGTTTGTCCAGGCTAATACTTACATTCGAACAGATAATGCACATAAATAGCACTTCATAAATGTTTGAAATCTAAGTAGAAATAAATGGCTTTACAACTGAATGGGGTAATTAATGACAACTACTTAATTTCTAGGAATTAACCTATTTACATGCAATTCTTGCTATGAAGAAAAATAAACAACAAGAGGAAGTTATTAATTTGTTAAACGATGTTCTGGACACTCATTTTTCACAGTTAGAAGATCTACCACTTGGCATACAGTATTTTGAGAACTTAAATCCTGATTTCTTGCTAGAAATTATTACCGAATATCTGAATTTCTGTCCAATGCAGGTAAGTAATCCTGGGACTTATTTTCAACGAAAATATTTTCAACATCACTTATATGATGTTTTATAAAACGTGCTAATAAATTGTCTTTCACATGTTAGATTATATCAGCATCTTAATGGTCGTATTTATATCTCTATTAGTTGAAATAGTTTTTAAATCAGAGTACTTACACCAGTGACTGCTATCAAATAATAAGTATTGGTTTACAAATATTCACTTACGGTTCATAAAATCTTAATATCTTCGGTTTAGAAGAAATACTAGAAGTCATTTAATTCAGACATGCATGTGATATTTGAATCTACTCCACAGCATCCACATTACGTGTCCATCCAACCCTGTGGTGCATTCAAAAATGCAGTTCTTACTGTGCGACTATGACTATTAGACTGTATTTCCGATGTTGTCAGACTCAACTTTGTGTTAAAAAAAAAATTCACCCATTTCCTGGTCCGCCTCCTGCTCTCTCGAGTGGCACAGAGCAAGTCCAGTTACTTCGCCAAAGCAAGGATTATTCCTCATTCATAACACAGACCTTTGGATTTTAGAAATTAGTTTTCATGGTCCCCTTAAACAATTCCAGGTTTTTAGCCATTTATTTTTTATATGACATAGTTAGAACCCTGGCCGTGAGCCTGAGGACAGCCTTTATTTTGTTAGTAAGCTCTCAGTAAGCTCACTATTCCGTATATGGGTTTGGCCTTGACAGGTCCTCTTCCTACCTAATTCTGGGTGTTCCTCTAGCTTTCTTTTGTGAATTATATTATTGAACCCTATTGAATTAATAGTTAACTAAAGTCCTTGGATCTATTATTCACTGCAACTGAGGACCCACGTGTAGACTCTATCCCTAGGAAATTTTATCTCCTCAGATTCATAATTCCAGATTACCATATTCTTTTAGATCCTGATTGTCATCTGCTTTATATGGATCTTTACTGTCCTCCATTATCTGCCTCATCTACCTCTGAATAGAACTGAATATGGAACCTTTTATTGTATTCTCAGAGAGTTCTTTCCAAATTTATGTGGGTCCATTAGTCAGCACTCTTTTTATTACAGACAGTAAGCAGACGACTTAACATTAGTATACTCAGCTCACGATTCAGCACAGGAATATCCTAAGAGGGACTATCAAATACCTCTTTGCTAAAAGCATAATACTTAGCATTCTCCCTGATTTACAGCTTCCTTGTGTTGGAAGAAATGAAGATAATGGCCTTTCTTTAGGGAAGCCATGCTGCTGTTTTGATCACCAAGTCCTTTTACAGACTTTCATAATGTGTTTTAAATTAACCCTTCTTAACTATAGAGAACAAACTGAGGGTTGCTGGAGGGGAGGATGGGGGGGGATGGGCTAGATGGGTGATGGGGATTAAGGAGGGCACTTGTTATGATGAGCGCTGGGTGTTATATGTAAGTGATGAATCACTAAATTCTACACCTAAAACCATATTGCAGTGTATGTTAACTAACTAGAATTTAAATAAAAACTTGAAAAGAAAGAAAAATAAATTAACCCTTCTGGAATAACACCTAGGATTGATCCCAGTCTCCCCTGTCGTGATCTGTTCTCAGTTGCTTAGAGTCAGAATACATTTTTCAGTACTTGTGCAGTATTCAGAATTCACTCAACAAATGCTTGTAGAGTACCCAGGGCTCCGCTTGGAGCTGGCGAGGTGGTCGTGTAAGAATAAACCACAGCCTTTGCCCTCTTGAAGCATATATAACTAGCCAGAGGAGACAGATAATATAGTCAAGTCAATTATGCAATAGAAAATAACAGACTAGGGTCGGGGGTGGTAATTTTGGATAAGATGGTCTGGTTAGGCCTCTTTGAGATGGTAAAAGTTGAACAAAAACTTGAAGTGTTCCTGTGGAAATACGGTATAGATTGTCTCAGGCACGGGAACGCTTGTGCTGTGGCCTCGAGGGACACAGGAGACTCATGTGACCGGGAGGGAGTGAGGAGGAGGTCACAGGAGAGGATACAAGACCACGTGGGGCCTTAGAAGTTGTTGTCACTTCCCCAGCATCAACTCTGAGCACAGTGAGGAGCCAGCAAAAGGTTTCCAGCATGATCTGACTCAACAGGTTAAAAGGATTTCTCTGGCAGCTATGCTAAGAATTAATTGCAGGTGGAGAAAGAAATAATGTGGTCTTGTGGTAAAGTGGTAATTGTGTCCCTAGTCCACGACATGCTGTGTTCCTGCAATATAATCTTTGTCAGCATGATAGCACCTAATTAGCACTTACAATGCTGTTTTCATAGGGAAATATCAAAAAGACAGACTTGTCTGTCTCTCCAGCTCTGTTCCTTGCCCCTTTTATATAGGTTTTTTTTAATCAAACAGATGTTATCTTAGAGATTGTCCATATATGCTTTACTCTGAAAGCATTTACAGTAAAAATGATGGTGGTTCTCAAATAATAATTTTTGTCAATAAATAATTCTTAGCAGATGGCAAAGAACCTTAACCTCACTATATCACCTACACTTTCACTGTTTTCAAGTGAAAAAAATACTTTTAAAGAGTTTACTCTGTATTCATTACTGTTTGAAAACGTGTAAAATTCCAATCTTCAAGGCACCCTAGCCCTGTAAGAGAAGCAAAACAAAATATGAAACTACTATGGGATTGTATAAGATAATATAGAATGCTAAATTTTATTACACAGATTATAAGTGCTGTAGAAATTTAAAGAAGTTGAGGTGTTCTAGGCACCAATGGTCATATTTTGAAATTCCTTTTGAAATTTTTGCGCATTTTTTTGTGCCGCAAGGTAGCAAAGAGATGTGGCACTTTCTTGTCAATAACAACGTCTCGTGGTAGAAGTGATTGTCAGTAAGAGACCATACTCTAGCTAAGACTATATACTTGTGGGGCATAGGGGCACAATGGGGAAGATTGGAAGCAGCATTAGTAGGGCAACGCAGGGAGAATGAACATTTGACATTTAAATTCTAATATCACATTTTAGCTTGTGAGTGGGTAATCATTGATTAAGACAGCCATTAAGACAATAAATTTCTAGTACTCTTTTAGTTATATTTACTGCATATTAATAAAAAGAGAAAAAAACAACAACAAAAACCTTTGAGGACCTCCAGCATGCCAGGCAGAGAAGCAGAAAATGTGAAGGTATGAGACATTTGGTGTAGCGCACATGAGTGTTTTCTACCTTCTGATATCTACTAGGAAAAAAAAGAATTTTCAGAAACTGATCTCACAGTACTCTAGGGGGCAATGCAAGTTACTGAACTGAATAAATCACAAGGCAGGTCTAGAATTAGAATTCACATTGCCTTGACTCTCAATTCCAGCAAGAAATTCTGCCTCTTAGTTATCTCTCCTTTGAATATGTTTCCTTTACAGTTTTTGAACAAATACACTCCTTTCGTGTTATCAAATCAGTAATTGTGTAATTCATAACTATTTTGCTGAATAAAAGCCGTTATTTACATGGTTTGTTCATAGATCCCAGGCAGATAAATTAGTATTAGTCACATTATGGTAAAGAGATGCAAAAGTAGAATAACAGAAATTTTGGAAAAATACATAGTTTTGCTAGTTATACTAAAATTTAATGTGTGTGTTCACTTTTAACTAAATACTAAAACTTATAAAATGATATGCTAATTTGTTTTGTTTATAGCCTGCAAGTCCTGGGCAACCTCTCTCTCCACTTCTCAGACGTTGTACCTCAATCCTGGAGACTATAGTAAGAACTGTACCAGGTCTTCTGCAAGCTGTCTTCCTAATAGCAAAAGTGAAATATTTATCAGGTAGAATATACCTTAAAAACTTAAAATAACTTTTTTATTCTGATGTTGACAAAAACAAAAGGGAAATAAACTAAGTATATATATGGAGAACAGTCACATAAAATGCATTTTACTTGTGCACAAATAAATAATTTTAATCCAAAATAAAATTGCATAATATTCTGTACTATTTAATTCTTTAAAAATTACAATAAATATAATATTTGTTGATCAAGTGAATTGCTGGGAAAATGCAGTTGTACCACTTAAAAAAAAAGTCCGTCAGATACTCAGATGGCAGTAAGAATTTATAGTCTTTAGTCCATAGTTATTGACTCATTGGCAGAGCCAGATGCAAGGTTTACCAGGTTTGGGGCCTTTATGAAATGTACTGATTAATTCCTGTTTAGTTTCTGTGATTATGTATAGCAAAAAAAAAAAAATAATAACCCCAGATATATAACCTTCTTCTTTTAGGACACAAATGGGTTTGTGACTATATACATAGTAGACCAACCTTTGGGGCTTCTATTTATGTACCTTTTCTAGATGAATACCATGCAAAGTAAATTAAGTTGTAAAATCATAAGGGGTAGAAACCAACTTAAAGGTATCATCCTAAACAATTATTTCTTATATATAATGGAGAGAGTTAGAAGATTGACTTTGCTAATTTTTTGCACCTCAATTTTAACTGTTAAAAAAACAAACAAACTAGATGATCTCAAAAGCTCGTATCTCTAAAATACTCTAGATGTAAGAAGTGGCTCTATTATACCTTCTTCCGGTTAGGTTCTGTTGAGCCACATGAAATTTCTACTTTCCTCCAAGTTGAAATGGTATTATCTACTAAATAATTAAACTGGGACTTTGAGTTCTGTGATTAATTTATTAGACATCTGTTATTTTGAAAATTGATATAAATCAGTCTCAGTGTAGTAATTCTTAATTGCCAAAGTCTCTAGAAGTGAAAGTCTCCTATATTGACCCCATTTTTAAAAACAGCAGCCTTAAATCATTTGAAATAGTGCTGCCATATGTCCGAATAGCGGTATCCTGATAAAACTGCCAACTACAATGACTTCTAACCCCAGAACTACCCGGAGGTGGACCAGACTTCACAGGTTAAGGGCACAGACATGAGCCATAAGTTCCGGGGTTGCCAAGGCCACCTGAACTTCTGAGTAGCTGGCTACAAATTCGGGGTTTCTATGACCCCTCAGGTTCAAGTACACTAGAACGACTCCTAGAATTCAGGAAATTGCTATACATATGATTAGAGTTTTAGTATAGCAAAAGGATACTAATACAAACTAGCAAAAGGGAGAGATGCACAGGGCAAAGGCCTGGGAGGGTTCCAAATGTGAAGCTGCCATTGTTCAGTCTGTGGAGTTGGTACACATCAACAATCCAACACATGTATATATGACAGTACGTAGAGAGCATTAACAACTAGGGAAGCTCACCCCAGGTTCATTATATAGGCATGGATATGGAATCATTGGGCATGTGATTGAAGTCAGGCTTCAGGGTCCTGCTCCCCAGTTCAGATAGATAACACCATCCTCTGCTTGGTTGGTCTTTCTGGCATGGCTGGTCCCCATTGAGTCATATTCTGAACATAAGCTATCTAGGGCTTACTCTTCATCTTCTCACTTATATAAATTGTCAAAGCCAACCTCAAACAACAAAGATACTTCTCTCACTCAGGAAATTCCAAGATTTTAAGACTCTGTCCCAAGAACCTGGGACAAAGACCAGCCAAATTCTATGTTACAAAGACATACATGCAGGACAGAAATGTCTTTCATTTTTCCCTTAAAGGAAATTAGGCTGCTCTTAGATTAAAATGTTATATTGTTGTGTTCTTTTTTTATATGGCTATTTTCCGCAACAGTGATTACCCATTTCTCATTTTTAAATATTTAGTGACCTTCTAAATACTAACCACGCATCTTTGCCCCCTCATCACACTTAAAAGAAAGATTCTGATCTCAATTATTCATTCAGTCCTCATATTCTTCAGTCTCTTATTTGTAAACGCAGATTCTTTCCTATGTGCTTTCCCCCTTAGCAGTAACCTTCAAGCTATCTCCTTAATCCTTTTCCTCCTTAAAGAACATGGGGGTGGTAATTTGCACACCAGTTTATTATACTTAACATTCCCATTTCCTATTTCCTTTTCTGCTTGCTCAGTTCTTGAGTGTTAGAGTGTATCACAACAATAAATAATCCAATATTATTTATTATGTTTGTTGGTTGATTGACAAATTTTGATACTATGTTTAGTATGTTATTATGCAGCCTCAGCCTGTTACTTGTTTATTAATCCTATGTCTGTAAGAAAACTGTTTTCTGTGTAGATGGATTCTGTCATGGGTAGGTTGGGCCTTTGGGAACTGGAAGCCCTAACTGTAAGCCTCGTTTGGTCTATTGAGGTATCAGGTGAGGTTAAGGAGCGTAATGGAACAGAGAGTAATTTAGGGTCTGTTCTTCCCTGGTGCTCCTAGCAAGGTTGAATGGGGAGCTGGGATCCTATACCTACCTAACACAGTCTGTGAGATGGCTTTAGGCGGAATACTGTGGGTTATATCACTAGAAATTTCTTCTAGGACCTAGAGTTTATACTCTTCCTTCTCTGAAGAGCCTCTTTCTACCCCATCTACCAGCCCAAGCCTAACAGATTCCACCATTTCTGTCACTTTAATTTTGATCATTTCTTCCATCTAAGACTCGTAGATGTACAGAGGATGTGTGTCCAAAACATTGGCTATTACACTTGGCATTTAAAGGCATATTAAATCAATAGCTCCTATTTCTGAATGTCCAGAATATATCCTTAATGCTTTTTTTGTTATTTTAAATACAGTGGTAAAATTTCTGGCCAAGGATGATTATAAGACTATATATCCTCTTTGTTAATATAAGTGACAGTACAGAATTCTAGCTATTTAAATGTCTGTGTTTTGCAAAACTTACTGTAATGAAATTTTAAGTAAAAAGTTTTTTGATCAGGAAAATAAATAAAGGTACATTTATAGTCCTCTCAGAAGTAGCAATGGTGATTGACTCTGATCCTTTCACAGCTTTCCCTGGTTTGCTCCTTATGGCTGGCCTGACTTACAGGTATATTCTTTCATGAAGACTAGAAAGGGGCTACCTGGGGCAGGTAGGCATGGAACTATCCATAAACTATTCATGTCCCTCTTCTCTCTCACATCTCTCTCTCTCAACCATTTGAATTATAATGATTTGTTTCTCTTATTAGGTGACATTGAAGCAGCTTATAATAACCTGCAGCATTGTCTAGAACACAACCCTTCTTATGCAGATGCTCATCTCCTGATAGCTCAGGTTTATTTGTCTCAGGAAAAATTCAAATTGTGTTCTCAGTCACTTGAACTTTGTCTGAGCTATAATTTTAAGGTACGTATTCCAGATTCAGGTGGATAAAACATATCACCCTCCTTGAACCTTTAGCAAGTGTCTACATATTCACCTGTTTTGTATTTTTGCCTATAATGTTTTGCTAATAAATTTATTTTTCGTGGAAAAAAGTTTGGATTCACAAGCAGGAGAAAAAGTGGAGGCAGCTCTTGTGTAATTAAAAAAACTATATGAACTTGGAGACAGAGGACCTGGGGGTCAGTGTCTGGTTTTTCCACTTTTCTCTCTCTGAACCTGTTTTCTTCTCTATAAAACTCATATAATAACACCTTACAGTTATAGTGGGCATTAAATGCAGTAATCGATGTAAATAAAAATAATTGTAAACTGTAGAGCGTTATGCCAAATATTTTTATGTGTAAGAACTCTTATTTATTGCTTGTTTCTTTCTTGGATTGTGGGTTTTAATAACTTTTTAGAGTCATCATCAAAGAACACCTAGTCATTTTGAAAGTTCGTGTGTGGTTTGAGGATATAAACACGTTAGATTTCTAGCCAAGACACTCTGTGTTACATCCCATATCCCTAAGCATTAGGGAAAATCATAGGTTCAGATGCTTCCTGAACTACCTGGAGTCGTGGAGGAGCTCCTCAGACTTTTGCTTTGGTTCAGAGGGTTTTGAACCCTGTTATGTGAGGACCCTTCAGTGGACTGGAGAATTCAGGATTTGCAGAAGACGGTGCCTGCTTCTTGGTCAGTAGTTCTCAAGACTAGTGGTGCGTTACCACCTAGTGCCAGTACCCCATCCCAATGACTCGAAATCTCTGAGAGAAGAACAGAATCATGAGTATTTACACAGAGCCCACCAGAAAATGTGATGCCTAGCTCAGGCTTACAGCCATAGCCGTAAGGATGATTGGAGCCTTCCTAGACATGATCATCTCCTTCGACTCCTTCTTCAATCTTTTTGTCATTTTCTTATTTTTTCTGTATACACTTTTGGTACCCAAAATAAAGATAGAGTCTTCATAACTAGGTGTTTCAGAGTAGTATCAAAGGGTAAAACCAAGTTTGACTAAAGTGTTCTGGGATTTTTAATCTTAAAACTAAAAAATAAAAGAAAGGGAAAAAACTGTGTTTCTAGAAATCTAATGACTTGATATCAGTATTAGAAGTCCCAGATAAATTCCTTTCCTGAAAACTAAATTTCCTAGAATATATTTGCTAGCCTTACAAGCTTTTTTTTGTATTTTCTCTTCTATCATGGTAAAAGCCCTTAATCACCTTGTTTGTCATCCAGGAGGATGCTGGGTAGTGCCAGGTTGCCTGAATCTGATTTAACACCATAAATGATCAGAAAGTTAATAAAAAGACAGAAATAGACCTCATGTATACAATCACAGGTAGACTATCCTCCGAGATTCTGTTATTTTAATGTTTGGTGAATTGTAAATTATGTGTTGGCATTGTAAGCACTCCAAGGAAATATTTCTAAATATTATTTTTTTTCAGGTGAGAGAATACCCTTTATATCATTTGATAAAAGCTCAGTCACAAAAGAAAATGGGTGAAATAGCAGAAGCAATTAAAACTCTACATATGGCAATGAGTTTACCAGGAATGAGAATTGGAGCTTCCTCAAAATCAAAATACAGAAAAACTGAAGTTGATGCAAACCATCGTTTATCAATCTTTCTCGAGTTGGTAGAGGTTCACCGCTTAAATGGAGAACAGGTAAGTCAAGTTTTAATTCAGTGGTTCAGCTCGGAACTTTGTTAGACAAGTATATATATTAGTAGGAAATGAAAAAGCTGAAATTATTTTCTTGCTTAACTGGCCGAGTTTAGAAAATTTATTTCTCATTAATTTGAACCAAATCATGTCCTTTCTGCAAACCCCTGACGTTAAACATAATTTGCAGCTGGATGACCTTAGGTAACAGTGTGCTTTCATTAGCTACCAGGCAATATAGTAATACAATCTATGTGTAATCTAATATGAGTAATAATATAAATTACTATGTACCATGAAATGTATCAGTGTAATATGATGTATGTAGTAATATAATCTTCGATGACCTTGGCTACCATGAAAGGTAATAATATAACATGGTTATCATTCTGTAGACTCCTGAAAGAGTCACACACACACACACACACA